TAGTTATTTGTTCTCAATAGTTACCTAATGTTGTTTTCTTGTATATTTCTTTGAATAATTATGTGAATAAAGTTTTTTGATTTTTTGGTTTTTTGGGAGTTTCCTAAAAAGGAAATCAGACGTGAAGTGGGAAAGAGTTTTTTTACAGCTTACTATATATATATATATAGTATATATATATTATATAAAAACTCTTCTGCCACATTAGTTACATAAGTGAAAAAGTATAATATAATAAGTAACCTATAGAAATAGTTAGTAGTAGTTTACTATTCCTATACAAAAATAGACTAATAGGTTAAATGGTTTAAAACTAATTATAAAATCTTCATCTTCTAGATAAGTTTCTTTGAAAATAATATGACATATCTCAAGGATAAATAGTATATTACCAGGTATAAAAAATAGTTAAGCTAGTATTTAATTATAATTATAATATTATAGAGAATGTTTGATATAATGTGATTTATAAGAATATTTTAAGAATATACAATAAAACCTATATCTAATGCTATTCTACTATATAAAAAAAAAATAATCTAAACTAAATTGAAATAATATAATTGTATTATTTCTATTATATATAATCCAATCTAATACTTATGATAAATAAATATTAAAAAAAGTAGTTTATAAAAACTATAAGTATTAAAGAATATACTTTGAAATAATAAATTAATTGTATAATAAGTAGCTATAAATAGTTATTATAATAAATTTATTATAAATATGTAAGTTAGAAATTATATACAATATATAATAATTTTTAAAATTTTTTAAAATTTTTTTTTAAAAAATTAAAATTAAATCTTTTATTTTAGTATTAATTAATAATATTATTTAAATATTATATATATATATTTTAATATTATATTTAAAAAAAAATATATTATTTTTATATTATTTATTATGAAAAAACATATAAAAGTATATAAAAAAACTTGAATTTTATATGACCTATAGGTCTATATTTCAGTGATAAAGTTCCATAGGTCACCAGGTAAAGGTCTAGGGTTCAACCCCATCTGGTTATAAAAATTTATCACCTTCATAATTGGTTGACTGGCTTCCAATTCATGTTGTACCCAATTAGCTGCAAATCATCTTCCAAAAATTAGTTAAGCTGTATGAAGATAGGACCTCTGGTCTTCCCAACGATTATGGGCTGAAATCAGATCGAAGCAAGGAAGATTGCACGAGGAAAGGCTTCTGGTCTAACTTCGGTAATAAGTCTACAAATCTTAAACCAAAAACTGGAGATGGCAGACTCTGTCACACAACATAAAAAAAGGTTAATTCTAAGCTGATCTATTCCAATATGAAGCTTGAAGATCTATTCCAATGTAGTATTCTCTTGAACTTAAATTGAACTGAAAGGGCAAAGGTTATCTGCCACAAGTGGTAACAATCTGGGCAAAAATCATCAAGACCAAGTGAGTCTGGTGAGAATCGTCAAGATTAAATTGGAATCTAAGCAAGAACACCAGTTCCACAGGTGGTGAAAATGGTAGTGCAACATTATGCTAGTAGCATATCCCAAGGATCAGTAATAACAGTAACTGAAATACTGGATTAGTCTCTATAATAATATTTCATATGACTTTCTCCTGACAAACAGCTGAAAAATACGATTGGACCAATAGGATGGTAGGTTTAAACTAGTGATAGGACTTTCTCCATCCTGTATAAGTCACACCTGGCATGAGCCCATCTACTTGATGCAAGCTGATTAACTAGGGTAGTTGGGTTGAACTTTGGAAAATCAGTATTACTGGAAATAGTAATTATTAGGTAGCATTAATTTACATTCTAGAATAGCAATAGTTTAGTCTGTAAAGATGTTTGATGTAATGACAGTACTATTAATTAGTAAATAAAGTCTCACATCTAATGCCCTTAGCCAACTTAAAAAAATAAAAATAAAAATAAAAAAACTTGAATTTTATTATTTTAATATACTTTACATGATGAAAAAGTAGTTAATTGATCAGGTTTAATCTAGGCAACTGATAATCCTATTGAAATAAAATAGAATTCAGATATCACTTTAATTATAGTTTGTACTTTTCTCAAGTTATTAGCAATAAATATTAATAATGATCCATTATTTTTTAATAAAATAAAACTTTTTTTTTAAAAAAAGAAAAAAACTTGATTTTATGAAAATCAAATTATAAAATTAATAATTAACATAAAATTTTTAATTAAAAATAATTATGTATTTAAAATAATAATAATAATATAATCTATAAACTAGTTATAAGTAAAAGTAATTTTTTTATAGTATCCATATATTTATATTTAAATTTATATTTAATTTAAATAAATTTTTACTGAGTTATATATATAGAAAAAATTCCAAGTAATTTTGGATACCACTGTATATAAAGTACAACCACTTGGGCTTGTTTCCAATTAAATATAATAAATAAAAAAAAAAATTAATATAAAGCAAATTGTAATATAAAAGAGCATTATTATAAAATATTTATACAATAATATTAACAAACAATATATTTTCAATTACAATGACATGAAATTTACGAAAAACAAATGAATATTTAAAAATTTGCACCAATATAAAAAAATAAAAGAACATTGAAATACTATAAGATTTATGTGTCTTAGGATATTGTATCATAAATAATGGAATATATATGATTCAAATTAATTCAAATAAAATTGAGTTAATCAATAAACATTAAAACGGTTTCCTCATATATTATTATTTTGTTTTTCTAAAAAAATTTAGAGAAACCTCGTGAAAGCTTCGTCTAGATCGTTCTCATCATCTGTGTCAGCAGAAACACCCCAGCCTCCTCCTCCAGGTGTGCAAATAATAACTCTATCACCAATTCCCACCTTGAATGTATTTTTTCCACCTAGATTAAGTATCCTTTTCCCATGATCTGAGCCATTATTTTTACGTATCCAAAGATTTAATCCTCTGGATCCATCTTTTCCGCCGTTCAATCCATACGGATGATACACCCTTCTCTCAGACAGGATGCTTACCTGTATAGAGTCACGAAATTCTAGATCTCGTATTACTCCGTTTCCCCCTCTGTGCAGCCCTTTTCCGCCGGACCCTATAATATTGATGCACGGTTAGTTTACATATTAAGGAAACTTACTTATAGTTTGATTAAGAGTTCGAACCTTTGCGTAAAGAAAATTCACGAAGCAAAACAGAATGATCCAATCTTCTTTCAAGAATTTCTGGGTCAGTGATTCTTGTATTTGTCATATGCTGTATTAAAAGAACGAAACCAGTTAGGATGGAAATACTAGCAATTAAAAAGTGTTGTAGTTTGAAAAAAATAGGTTGCAAGACATACAACATGCACGCCAGATTGACCGTTCCATGTAGGTCCTGCACCGCTGCCTTAGTTTATCATTGATACTCATTATCAATATGAAAATGAAATGGTAACTTAGAATTACAGATTCAATGTCAAAAACGAAGTTTACCTCCAGCAATGGTTTCATAATACCCCCATCCATCCTTAACTTTTTTCCCATTAACAGTAATTTCATCTTTCCCGAAGGTCAAATTATTGCAATCCCCTTGACTTGCTGCGCATGCTTGGAAAGCTTTCAATATCGTATCTACCAATCTTTGGGATGTCAAGACATTTCCGCCTACCACAGCGGCCCTATCTGACGGATTTAGAATCGAGTTTTCTGGAATTCGAATGTCAATCGGAGACAGACATCCTTGGTTTAAGGGAATATCGTTTGTAATTAAGGACCGCAGGCAATAAATTATCGCGCTACATGTAACCTGCATACAAATTATCAGATGAAATGCATGAAAGAATGGTTGGAAACTAAGAAGGAAAAAAAAATACCGATAATGGAGCATTGGTGTTTCCTGGAAAAAAAAGATGCAGTGGTTTGTTAATTTAATGAATCTATCTAGAATAAAACTCTTTGTTTGACGTACCATAAACCTCAGGCCCAGTTCCAGCAAAGTCAAATATCGCTGAACCTTCCTTCTCTTCAATAGTTATTTGTAAATTTATGGGAGTTCCATCGTCCATATAATCCGTCGCTTTTAAGACGTTGCCATTTTTTTGACTAACGCCTTTTAATAGATTTCTAACAGATAGTTCGGCATTCTTTCTGATATGCATCATATACGCCTGAACGACATCCAGCCCATACTCTTTAATCAAAGCTTTCACAAGTGTAATGCCTTTGTGGTTAGCTGCCACTTGGGCTTTCAAATCCGAGATATTATCACGGAGGCATCTAGTTCCACTGCAACCAGGATTCTGAGCAGGTTCGTGCAACATAATATCTGTAAGGCCGTCGATATCAAAATTTCCCTTGGACACAAGTTTAAAGGATTTTATGGCGGCACCCTCTTGGTATAATTCTTTTGAATGTGGTGGCATAGAGCCTATATTATATTGTGTATTTTAGTTATATAATATTTTAAATTATTGGACAACTTATATATATATACGTGTCCTTAAATGAATAGTACCAGGTAGGCTGCCACCAATATCTGCGTGATGACCTCTTGAGGCAACAAAAAATACAATTTCACCTTCATTGAATACCGGCGTGATAATAGTAATATCTAAAATAATATCATTGGTCAAGTAAAGCGATTAATCAAATATCACGGTTGTTTAAATCATATTTACCAGGTAGGTGCGAACCACCAGCTTTAGGATGATTTGTCATGATGACATCTCCGTCTTCCAGGGTACCATTGTAAAAGTTCATTTGGTATATGACAGCGTGACTTAAACTGCCAAGATGTACTGGAATGTGTGGAGCTTTATAGTAATGAACAGGGAATCACAAGTTAAGTCAATGGAGAGCTTTAGAAACATCCAACATTATGATCAACGATTTTTGATTTATGCAAACCGTTTGCAACCAATCCTCCATCAGATCCAAATAATGCACAGGAAAAATCCAATCTTTCCTTAATATTAGTAGATATGGCAGTTTTCTGCAGAGTATTTCCCATTTGTTCAGCAATACTCATGAACCGATGTCCAAATATCGAAAGTTGAATTGGATCTAATTCAGTAGTCACTGTTGATCTGACACCATTACCAACCGTAATCATTACGTGCGAAGTAGTAATTAATGCATTACAAGATGGAGTCACGAGAATCGTCGAATTTGCATCAATTATCAATGCTGGTCCGGAGATAGTGTTGCCAACCTGAAGTTTTTCCAAAAGATAAGTTGGGGTCTTGCGACGACCACCCTCGAAATAAATAAAGGCATGACCATCGTTTTGAGACGCGTCCACAGGGGTGGGGTTAATTCCTTTTATCTCTTCAAATACATCATGCTGAGAGGTGTCATGTCTTCCACCTATGCCACGAACTCTAATATCATCTACGAAGATATCACGATCCGGAAAAGTAAACCCGAATTCTTGTCGATATTGATCAACAAATGACTGAGCAAAGTTCCAAGAATCATTTGGTTTTAGGGTCATCAATGCAAAATCTGTGCCTTGATATCTCAGGTTAAGATAGATTTCGTGCTTAATTTGTGATTCTTTGGTAAGACATTGTGATTTAAGTTCATTGGTGCAAGCTTCACACAAGGCTTGAATCCTTTCCATTAAGTATGACAAGGAATCGTCAGAGTATATTTTTGAACACGGTTCTTGAACTTCATGCACCACATCAGCTAACGCAAGACCATAAGCTGACAAAATCGAACTATAACGATGGATTAATATTTTACTTATGCCCAAGTTCTGAGCAATCGCGCATGCATGTTGACCACCAGCGCCTCCAAAACACGCGAGAATATGGTTTGATGTGTCATGACCCTTTGCTTCGGTAAGAGCACGAATTGGACGGCACATTGTTTCATTAGCCACTTTTATAAAGCTAAAATTTAAATTGCGTGTAAATAAAACCATAAATCTCTCGATTATTGTGAAATAAAATCTTACCCGAAAGCAATTTCGTCTATGCTCATTTCTTTGCCATCCAAATTGAAGGCATTTATTTCCTTTGAGAGATCCTCAAATGCGTGTCTTGTAGCTTCTACGTCCAATGGCTGATCCTCATTGGGACCAAATATTTTGGGGAAATGGTCCGGATTTAACCGACCGAGAATTAAATTTGCGTCTGTTACGGTTAATGGCCCACCTTTTTTGTAGCAAGTTGGACCTGGATGCGCACCTGCGCTCTACAAATAGGTGTTCGAATTTCACATGAAGGTCAAAGTTGTCGTTATAATCTTGTGTTTTTGTAAATAAAATGATTAATACCTCTGGTCCAACGACAAACATTCCATTGCGGAAGAATAGACGTGATCCGCCACCAGCAGCGACCTTGTATAATTCTAAGGTTAGTGTGATGTAAATGTAATAAGAAAAGGTCATACAAAAATTGCCCAACCGTATTAATATCTAATTGTGGAGCCTGAATTGCTACGCCGGCCGTTGTAGTCTCGAATACGTGTTCGTATCGGCCGTCGAAACGTGATACGTCTAATCAAACAATTCGTCCTCAATTGGGAAATTAAAGAAATTTTATGAAAAAAGAAATATTCACACACACACCTGTGCTGGTTCCGCCCATGTCAAATCCAATAACAGGAGTACGTTCCTTCTCACTATAAGAGGTTAAAGCATAACCCACAACACCGGCAGCGGGCCCTGACAGTATCGCCCTTAACCCAGAAAATTTGTATACTGGTACCAGACCTCCGTCGCTTTGCATGAATTCTAATCTAACGTTTTTCTCCAAATTTTCATCAAATCCTGAGATAAATCCGCTAATATATTTACGGATGCAGGGAGTTAAATACGCATCGGCCGTTGATGATGTGCCCCGTGGAACAATTTTAATCATTGGCATTATTGAAGCTGAAAGCGAAATGTGTGTAAACCCGACATCCAACGCCAATTGACCAAGTTGATGCTCGTGACCTTTGTGAGAAAGGTTGATAGATAATTATTAATATCTTTGTGATAATTGATTGAATATGTTCACACCAAAGAAAATTGTTTCTATGTAACCTGGATAAGTATAGGAATGCATCAAACATATCGCCACACTTCTGAATCCTTCTGCGTACAAAGATCGCATATCTTCTTTTACCTTCTCGAGATCTGAAAGGTAAAAGTGGAAATTATTAGAATCAAGTAGAAAAAACCTTTAAGGTTGTATACATGCATGCCTGGTCTTTTAAGTATTTTCACACGTTCACCGGAAATTCCTCGCAAGACATCTCCTGAATCGTCGTTAGAGGCCTCTTCAATCAAACTTACACTAAAGCGCAAAGATCGAAAAAGAGCGTAACAAGAGATGAGCATAAATACAACTTAAATAATAATGTTTAATGATATTGTGATACCGTTCGTCGACTTCCACGACTTTTTGATACAAAACATCAGGCTTACGGATGGCAAGATCGAAAATCTTTGGGCGTGCCTGGTTTCCTAATAAAAACGGTTGTAAAAATCAAAAAAAAAATTTTCATCTGGTGTTACGAACAATAAGACTTACCTATGATTAGGAGATCCTAACAAGGTACAATGAAACACAAATACTGTATAAATTTTATCGTTGTGATGAAACCGATAGGCAAGATTTATTAAATAAATACCTTGAAGCCTTTAGTAATCAGAAGAGCGCATTTTTCACCTTTCCTCTCTAACAAGGCATTGGTGGCAACGGTTGTTCCCATACGAATTGATTCTTTATCAAGAAATTATCAAAAACCTGAGAATAAACATGAAAAGGTGAAAAAAAAAATAAAATCAACTAAAATACACATACCAATATTAGAAGTATCGACAGGTTTATCCCTAGGGTGAGGCTTCCCCGTAAAGATTTCCAGGATTCTTCTAATTCCTTCACGAGGAGCATCCGGATAATTTTGAGGATCGACGCTTAATAACTTCACCACAACTTCACGACGCCCTAGCGGATATTCTTTCGATACAGGTACATTCATGCTCCCGATACAATCGGTAAAGGTACCACCTCTATCGATACTAATTCTGATTCCCTTTTTTTCAGTTGACATCGGATTATCGTATGTTGTAACTTGAGTAGTGGAAAATCCAAGGCTTTTATACAAACTCCACGCCCTGTTATGGAGATTCTCATAAATACGTAATCAGATTTACAATATTGTGATCTAAGGTTCAAGAAAAGTTAATATTTCGGTGGCACATGTTACAAAAGTTCGCAGTCGGGTGGTATCTTAAATAAATTTTCCTTTTAGTACCAGATCTCCAAGAACTCGAATTTAATAATTGAAAATGGAATTGCCCAAATATAATATCACTTCCATCTTTGTTGATATAAAGGGAGAATCCTCTCCAAACAATTTGTTCCTACGCCTTGCTTTACACGCAGATCGCTTTCTTTATTATGTTTAGGAACGCATAATCGCGGTACCTTTCTAGAAAGATAAAGATACATGCTTAGATAATCAGCAGATTTCATTCATTCATTTATTTTTTAAAAAAGTTGTAGTGTCTTTATGAACATCTTTATGGTTTAATTAACTAATTTTATAAAACCAATTCATTTCACTATACGCCTTCTTTCAAGTATAATATAATTTATTCGTGCTACTATGTACAAGCTCTAATCTGAAGCCCACTAATCTGCGGTATTCTCGGATCCGTTACATTCATTTTTTCTTAATTTCTTCGTAAGCCCCGTACGACACGAAAATAACTGCAACAGTCCAAGCGATATTGATTAACCAATCCCAAGTCCAAAACATCCAACCATTTTCATAGTATAGTACATAATATCCGAGATACCATAGAACAAAATAAACAAGATAAATTCCTGTGAAAAGAAGAGTAGGAATAAACAGAAGATCTATTGCATACTTATCCCACCATCTTTTAATACCTGGACCATTTGTTTCTAAAAAATCTTTGGCATAATAATATAATTTCGGAAGTAACCCGAAGGTGATTATCTTCATCGTCGACTTAAAAATATCAAAAATAAAACTCGGAACTTTGTAGGCCAAAAAGAAGTCGAATATAATGAACTTTAGAATTTCAAAAAATTTTCCGAGAACACGATATTCGAAAAGAAGTAGCATAAATTTTAGAAAAGTGTCTAAAATAAAGAGTAAAGAATCTCGAATATATAACAAGGTATATCTGAAAATACGTTTTGATATTGTGAACTGATCGGAAGATGAAATATTATGAACCGAAAAGATTTCGTAATCTTTTACTTGCATAGGATTTTCCATCTCCCTTAGAACGTTTTCAAGTAGAATGTAATC